CTTTGTAACAAACCCTTTTTCAGAAAGGTTATGACAAAATATAGCATATCTCTCAAAAGACTTTTGAGTATTTATTTCCCTAGTGTAAATACCTTGAACTAATATATCTAAATCACATGTATCACTTTTACAACTGTTACCCATCACTTTCTCAGACTTTTGCATATGGAAAATAATACAACACCAGAAAAACTCACATCGTGCACTAAAGGTAGATTTCCACTTTTCATATCTTGGTTCATTATTGATACTTCATTTCTGAACCCTTATTCCACGAGTTCACAGATAAATTTTCCAGGAATCTTGAACAGTTTCCTCCCCGTACAACTTCTCATTTTCTAATAAGTCTTTAAAAGGTAATACTCAGAAAACACCCCTCGTATTTTCCTAAACACAATTTCCTTCTCTAACAATTAAGAAATACTTCAAGTCAATGAACACCTGAACTCCTCTATAATGAGGGCTGGGGTTCTTCTGACAGATATAAACCACAAAAATGCCCTTTGAATCTAATTAGTTTGCAAGGACTGCAAATACTTCCAGTAGCAAATACTTCCTGCCTTACCTGGGCAACCTGGATTGGTACGCAGCGCTTTCTTGTAGTAGGCAAGGGCTCCTCTGTAATCTTTCTTGTTGAAAGAAATGCATGCTTTACCTGTTATGGATAAATCAGAAGCACAAGTACTATTCAGTAAACTGTGCCAATTTTCAAAAGTTACAGTTAAAAACTAATAGAAAATTCAGACAACTACATCTTTGATTATCTTTGATGACGTCAAGTATATGAAAAAAAATCAAACATGGGAACACATTAAATTTACATTTTCTTTTTTTTTTTTCCAGAAACTTAATTCCTTCCTGGTCCAGAGGAAAGACACTTACTAAGTCTAGTGAACAACTTAAATTACAAGTGTTACAGCCCACTGACCCCTCACCAGCAGTATCTTCACCCTCAACAGAGTACACAGCTTCACTGGCATCATCAGGGAAGTATAAGTAGATGGAATGTATGTATGCCCACAAGTCTCAGAAGATGCCAGCTAACATTCCACTTTCTCCTAGCTCTTCCACCTATGCATGCTTCCCAAGTTTAAAGTAGCCTCTGTCACGTGTTTCTGGTCACCTCTTGATCACATTCTCTCTACTCACATATGACCCCTCTTAAGCACATAATCCATTTCAAAACTCAACTCCAAAGATCAGGTTTTTACAAATGCACATAAACTCATACCGAGAAGGGCAGGAATATTATTTGGAGACTGGTTGAGCACAAAGTGGAATTGTGCATCAGCTTGGTCCATCTTATCACCTTCAAGCAGACAAAAGCAGGCTCTTCCCAACAAGTGATTCTAATCAAGAAAAAAAAATTGCAATACATTTATCTTTGTAAAATATGAAGTTTGGACTACAGGAAAGATTAACTGGCTACACTATATGTTTTCTATGATTAATTGATTTCTCTTACATCAGCAGTAAAATAAAACAGAAAGGGTCTTTATCATCCCTTCTAAAGTTCATATATTACCAAGCAAGAGAGTAACAAAAAATGCTTCTTTCCCAACCCCCAAGAGTTGACTGAAGTAGTTCTATCACATGTGTCAAGCTAGAGATAATCATTCCTGGTGGCACCACACACATTTTAGATACTTACAAGTTTTGCTTACATGTACTACACTAAGACTTTAAAGCCTGAGCAGCTCCTATCTTCCCTTTAGTGAATCAACACTTGTTCTCTTTACAATAACTAAATAATTTACAAATATGGATTTTTAAGCAGATTCTGGTTTTACCTGATCGTACATGATGATTTTGTCAGCCATAGTGTACAGCAAGGTAGCCTGTGTAATGAGCTCCTTCTTGTTGTCTTTGTTCTTCTCCTTCCGAGCCTGCTGCACATAGTAGGCTGCCAGAGTGTCCAAACACGTCATCTGATCCTTCTCGTGGTCTCTGTAGTCCAGGTTGCCATCTATGCGCGCGGCTTCCAACAGCTTCACAAAGTCTTCTGTTTTCCCTTGCTTGTAGTATTCCAGCTACGAAACACACAGTTTTAACACACAGTGCTACCCCAGCAAGCATGTAACATATCAAGTGGATGCTTTAGGTGTCACACAGATTCTTTTTCCAGCATGTAGGGATAAAACAGATGTAAATGTAGGGATCATCAGACAGAGGTATTCTGATAACGCCAAATATTTTTGTCATAGTATCATAGAATGGTTTGGGTTGGAAGGGATCATAAAGATCATCTACTTCCAACCCCTCTGCCATGGGCAGGGACATCTTTCACTAGACCAGGTTGCTCAGAGCTCTGTCCAACCTGGCCTTGAACATTTCAAGGGATGGGGCATCCACAGCTTCTCTGGGCAACGTGTCCCAGTGACTCACCATCTTAAAACACAAGGTTTTGAGCCATTTATAAATAAAGATTCAAATGGCTTTCCTCTGAACTTTTGTCTTTTTGCACATTTCACCATACTTTCCATAGTATAGACACTGCCCCCTCCTTTTTTACGAAGTGCATAACCAGAGGCACAAAACAGGAAAACTATTGACTGAGATATAAAAAACAACTTAGAAAGCAAGCCTCAAGCAGCACTGCTTCATGAAAAAAGGATGAAGTTAAGACCTTAAAATGCATATGTCAAATCAGAAATATCAGGCTTTGAGTCAGTGACTGAATGATCCCATTAAGTTCCTGTTCAGAATTCAGTTATCACTGGCCATAAGAGCAAGGAAGGGGAAATTATTATTGTTGAAGTGGAAATTATTATTGTTATGTGAATATAATATTTAAATATACAATTTGTATACATACTAACCGCTAAGGCAATCCATATGTGCAGCTGGGTGTGCTCCTGTTTCAGAATACTTATCACTTCATCACCCTCAGGCAACTGATCGAAGTCAAGCTCGATAACCTAGAACCAAACAGTACAGATTAGCTTTTCACAAAACATTAATAACATTATCTATCACTGAGCTCAAAGGAAGCTGGATATTTCAGAGCACAAAACATAAATAATTGCTTGTGTTTAAACAAGGTTATGGACAAAGAAGGAAGAGATAAGGTAATGTATTCTGTACAAGACAAAAGCGACAGCCTCTCAGAAATATCACAGAAAAGACAACCCAATATTTGGAATACCAGTCAGGGAGAATAAGCAGAGATGCTAACTCAACTTCTTTCACTATGGACTTCAGGCTTGGAATTTTTACAGTCCAGCTAATAACCAACTTGACTGCACACTGCTGAATTTCTAAAACTTTTCCTACAGGTAATACAAAGATCTGGGAGAGAGTCAAAATATTCGAAGTTATCAGATGTCAGAGGGTCAATACTCAAGACTGATCTCAGAGTCCTGAAATTTCATAAAGTCCTCTTAATGCCCAAGGAAAGTAAGAGACTACTGAAACAACTAAGTTCCTGAAAATTCACAACTGCAGTCATCATCAGTAAACAACATTAACTTTTCATCGTGCAAAAATTATTTTGCAAGACTGTCTTCCCATGTTGATCCACTCTTCTGATATTAAAAATGAGGAAAAAGGAACAGATACTACCCAGGTGGGATATTTGGGAACACAATTTAACTGCCTGTTAGTTCACCTGCTACTCAGTCATGCTACCTTTAATATTAGTCATCTATGTTACAAGTCAATTTGACAGCAAGGGAGAGGTGCAGTTGTTGTACCCAGGCTTGTCCCCTGATTACCAATGCAGGGACTCCTTCTCTCTAGGCTGAATTAAAGCAACCCAATTTATATGGGCTTATAGCTTTGCCTATGCAAGACTTTAGAGTACCAGCAAAAACATTTCTGCCACTACCCGCTAATTTTAGTTTTGTCTTGCACAGTATCTCCTGTTTGAACAGATAATGATGTTTTTAAATTTGGGCAACACTCATCCATGAACTAATACAGTTATTAATGAGAAACAGGTATTACCAACTCAGCAAATACAAAATGGAAGTAAAAAAAAAGGGGGAAGGGGAGTAGTATTTTAAAGCAATCTTTAGTGATTAATTCAAACTTTGGGATCTAAGTAGTCCCAGACAGAACCTGAAGAGCAGCACCATGATCAACTATTCATGTTGACACCTCACACAGAAATTTATGTCACAGAACAATACGCTCTCCAACATGTAAAATCCATAAAGTACCTTTGTGAGACTTAAAAATTCAATGGCAGTCACGTGAAATTTTTTTCTCTATATACATATGACATGTGTATATACATGTATGTATATATACATGTATATATATATGTATGGTGTATATATATATATAAATATATATACAAAAATATATATAGAAGAGTGTGGATGCATATGTTCACAGAGAATATTCTTTAACCTGTAAGCAGTTATGTTTCAATAACTTCCTTACCTACACTATTGACTTAGTATCTGATATGGAACGATTTAACTTCTAACCTTATAACACCCTGGAAATTTCCAAAGATTTCTCTTAAATCTTTTTAACCTTGGCCTGGGACAGTGTATCATAACTAAAGAAAACTTAAGTAAGTTTTTAAACCCACGCTGAAGTAACTTTACCCAGAGGACCCACTGCCCTGCCTGTCTGAGGAGTGCCAAGCTGTTTACAAACAGTGCGGTCACAAAAATCTGACAGAACAACCTATGGAGAGAATTTCCCTGGACACACACCTGCGGCCCCGGCACCTCAGGGAAAGCAGCGACACCGCCGCCCGACCCCCGGGGCAGAACTACGAGGGGCAGCGCCCCGGCACGGACCACCCTTCCTCCCGCAGCCCCTCCCGCCGCCTCCCACAGCCCGACTCGCCTCGTCGGTGTCCCGGAGCGGGATCTCGATGGAGCCCCGCGACATGTCGGCGACTGCTCTGCGGGGCCCGCCGGACCCTCCACACGCAGGGAACGCCTCACGCCGGGCCGGGGCCGCTGCCGCCGCGCGCACTTCCCCTCACGGCACCGCCCGACCCGGACGTGCTCCGGGACGGGGCGGGGCAGCCGCGCCGGACCCGCCTCAACGGCGGCGTGAGGGGGAAGCTGGCTGTTCTCCCTTCCCGTTCATGAATGCATCACGTACCTACCCATAGAAATATCTCTATATATAAGACACTGAAAGGCAGTGCCTTTATTCTGTTTTTATTTGTCCTTGCACCCGCTGGTCCATGGGATAGATTTGCCTGACTGCTCTCTCTGGTCTTGGGACAACGACTCCCTCACGGGCAACGCCTCCTCTCAGGATGTTTTAAAATCGTTATAAAGGTTTCCACATAAACGCGTTAAAATGTGCGGATTTTCCCCATCTTCGTGGGAAAGCAGTGTGTAAATCCAAATAGATTTTGATCCGACTAGCTCAGCTGGTGTAATACTATTAAACCATATTTAAATTTTTCAGCCACAGCACGGCCAACTATTTTCAAATTATCCAAGTGTTTCTAATTACAAATACTGAATCTAATAAAATCTGATAAAATGCTGAGCCCGGGCGCTGATCCTGTAGCCTGTTCTGTGTGAGGGATTCAACCACAGGGAGGTGCAAAGTAAAGAAGAAATTTTAAAATTTGACTGCTCCTAAATTCTGTTTTTCCAATTATGATGGCAGATGCATTGGTGTATTTACAGCAAGCACAGTAACGTATGACCAATCTTGGGTTTTTCCCAGCTGTACCAAGGCAAAAAAAAAAAAAAAAGCATACTAAGACTAAAGGATCGTCTGGCACATTTCTACTGAGGTGATTAAAAAAAATTAAATCTGTGACATTACTTACACAGCCTATTAAACCCTAAAGCAAACAATTTTGTCCTATAGCTAATTATCCACAGAATACAAAATTTTGAATGAGGCAATAGTCACAACTATAATGCATTATACTAGTAAATTTGATTTTTAAAATAATTGTGAATTACTGTAATACTATGTATTACAGTAGTAATGACTAGATGACTTGCAGTGTCACCTGTTCTCCGAAGCCAAAGTAAGTAGTATTTTTAATTACTTAACATTTTGAACATGAACTTTTGATTTTTATTTATGCACTAATTATTCTGAACTGAGTTAACCAGTCCATTACATTGTAACAAGTATTTCTCCTACTCTTTGAGTAGATTTGTTCCATAAATGCCTTTTGTAGAGAAACTTTTGCATGTGGCAGGAAAGCTGAGTGACATTGAAATTAGTAGGAGTGTGCATTTTTTGCACTGGAAACATACCAAAACCAATGTTATGCAGAGCAAGATGCTAATTAATAGAGTTTCTAAGCCTGCTTTACTGATTTATAGGCTGATTTTTCAAAATAAACTACTTTTTAGGTATTGTTGCTCATGCTGAAGGTATTTGGACTGAAAAATCAGCCTGTTCCTGAGGTGTTTGCTCACCAGTGTCTGTAGTAAATTTACTTTCCTCATAGACGGAAAACTAGTTTTAATGAAAGATTGTATAAGGTCAGACCTTAAGAATATTCAACCAAAGTTAAAGAGGGAAAACAATTCTTGCTTCCTGCTATAAACCTAATAGAAATGTTTTAAAATGTTTAAAACTTTGTTATATACTATGCAAACTATTGACTTAAATATTGCTTAAAGCTGGAAAAGTCCTTTTTTCCCATATACACTGATAACAATAAATCACTATTGCTATGTAGAACTTATTTTATGTATAAGATATTGTTCTAGTAGAAAGAGCTGCTTTTTTCACATTATGAATGCTTAGGGACATTTCAAGACACGAGGCTCGTTTTATCTTGCTGTCTTTTGTTTTTACTTCTTTGTATTTTATTATTATGGAAATTTAAATCACTACTTTTAAACTTGGATTGTTAACAATATCAGAAATACTTATATAAGTAAAGTATCATACAGCAAGTTGAACTTCCAGTTGTGATATGTTATATACAGGAATCAACACTTTTACAGTGTAGCTGTGAGTCCTGGGATGATCTTAAAGTGGCTCCTGGGCTCCAGGCAGGGCAGTGGCAGGATGCACCTCGGGGGGTTGGTCAGGGCATTTAGAACTTATTAATTAATTTAGGCCTTGACATGATGTATATCTTGAAAAGATAGTAAGCAGGTTTAGTAAAATGCTGGGCTGGTTGGTTAAGAAAGCACTAAAAATGAACTTAATAGGTATATTTTTATTTATTCGATAGTTTAATATTGTGCTGGCTCCAGAGGCTATTGGATTAGCTGTGCATCTCAAACTTGTTCCTTTAAGGAGCTGGGATTTTCTGTCCTGCTGGTGAGGAATGCTGATGAAGGCTATATCACATGAATTTTGAGCAATGTTATAGGTACTCTTTTCCTACAAAACTAGCTCTTTTAATAAAACACTATGAAATCTAACAAGACAGAGCTGTAAGAATGGATGGTCTTGACTGCTTTGTGTTAATGTTTCACTGGGAGGTGTAGTGTTTTTGCAGACCATGAAACATTTTGTACAGCTACTAAAACCTGCATAATTTTATGCTGCCAGAGTTGTTAATTTTTTGTTGTTTTTCGTGCTTCTTCACATGATTACGTTTGCCTTATTTATCTGATAAACATAGTTGTGTCCTACTGAGTTAGTCACCTAAATCTACAGAATTGTTTTGCAAGCAAAGACTGTTAAGGGGTGTCTGTGATTGTGGTTTGCAAGCAAGTTGTGTATTTGAAGATGGAGAGAGAAAAATTAAAGGGACTTCATGTTTACCTGTCCTACTGACTTCCTTCTAATCCTCTTACCTGGCACAAACATTTCCTCTTCGCACAGGCCCGCTTCTATTCACTCTACCACTGGTTATGGTTTGCCTGGGTTGCATAAAATGTAATGTCTCCGTACTCAGGAATATTGCGGTGCCGAAATTATAGCTGCACTTCTTTTCAGTATCCTTCTCCATGTGGGACGTAGGGAAATATTTCCATTTATTTTTTGATGAATACAGAACCTGGTCTGACCCCAGTACACTTCATGGTTGGTTTCCAAAGGACAATTTTTGTTGTTGTTAGTTTTTGCACTGATAGCCTTCTACCTTCTGTGTATTATGCTTAGCATTGATTAGTAGGTATAAAAGTGTGGTTTAAAAGAAATTAATCACAGAAACATTACATTCCTTGGGTTTGCTTTGCTTTATAGAGTTTCTCTTGGGAAACTCCAGAAAGGCAGCTGTAGGATGCAGGAGACTTTCATTCTGTTCTCTGTGGGGCTGGTCAGAAATGAATAGTGCCGTAAAAAGTTAACAGTACAAGTGCAGTTCTATAAAGTGAAATTTTTTATGCTTAAAACCTCACCAAGTTTCTAAATATAAAACTGTCAATGCAAGTACGGTATCGCTATTGCCACCTTCTGGCGACTGTTCACAGTCAGTATCCAGCGTTCTCTCTACAGAGGATTTGGACTTCCTCTGCGGAGTTCAGTATTTTATCTGGTTACAGCTTTGCATTTTCCTATCTCTTGGGCTTCAGTGTGTTTCAAGATGTCAAGAATGTGTTACTTGTTCCAGGAAACTATGATTGATAAATACTGATTGTTAAATGATAAATTTTATTTGAATGATAGACATATCATATGCAAAAAGAGTGATTTTTCCCCTCCCTTCTCTTCCTGGTGAAGGCTTTTTCAGGGATTATGCAATAGCATTACAGGTTTAAAATGCATGTCAGCAATTAATAGGACAAGTGAGGATTATACAAAAGACAGAAGAGGGACCGGATGATATTGCAGTGCTGTAATGTAAAGAATGAGAGTATCACTAATTTTTAGGATAGAACATTTGCTAGGAAGACTTAGTGGCTCTAAGACTTTGAACAGATTTACACCTAAAGAGATATATCAATTTTTATTAGCTTATTTATTATGAACTTCACAAATTTTGCCGTTGTGTATTCCCTCTCTTTTAAAAATATTTATTTTACAAAAGCTTGCACTTGATCAGAGCAAAACTTTTAAAAAGAAACCAAAAGTTTGGGGTGGAGACTACACTGACTGTTCCTTGCCAAAGCTGTTTTCCAGGAGAACTCCTGAGTTCTGATACCACGTTCTTTGAAATGAAATTGCACAACCCATTTCTGAACACATTAAATCACATTAATGCTGTAAGAGATATTAGTAACTAACCCAAGAACATTGAGGTCTCCATCATCCTCTAGTCTTTTTGATAAAATTATTTTTCATAAACTGGTTTTTTTGACAGGTACTTTGACATAAAATATTGTCATGTAATAATGACAGTTGTTTTTCATAAAATACTTATAATAAAATATACTTTCTCTATTCAGTGGAATGTTATTGTATCCTGAAAATTGAAGGTAAAAAAGACTACAGAATAGATACAGAGATTAATGTCTTCTGATACCATAATGGTACTTTTTAATGTATTATGAAAGTAGCAGAGGGACTACATCTTATTTAAAATATCTCCTTCTTGTATTATATGCCTGTTCAAACAATTCTTTTCATTCTGAAACCTGTGCATGTTCTCTAAAACCCAAGTTTTTAACAGAAAGTTTAAGGAAAGGAAAACACATTATACAAGCAAGGACTTGAGTGCAGAAGTCAGTTCCAAAAATAACAATGAACACTTGTGCTGAAATTCTCAGGAAGGATGAAGCCTGAGAATCAGCCTGAAGATGAAGAAAGCTTTTGGGAATATGTCAACAAATCTTTCTCTGTTTCCTGGCAGTGACTGGTTGTTCTCAACGTCCTTTTCATTAATGTGATTTATCATATAAACTATATACTGACTTCTATACATAGAATGAAATAGAAAAACAATTGATTTTCATGTATCTAACATCCATAGTTCCTTCTCTGAGTATTTACTTCTCTTCTGTATCTCCATTATTTTTTTCTTTTACAGAACCCTTTCCACTTTTGTTTAAGCACTAAAGGTGACAATGTTTAAACAGATTGATGTCCTTACTTTTTGTGGGCAGAGCTCTGTCCTGCCAGATGAGATCTGAATGATCTGTTCAATAGCCTGTGAATGCAAGTACCTGCTGATCTAGATAAAAAAAAATTTAAAAAAATAATATAAATCTGGTTTGCATCACACAGAAATCTTCTGAAAACATGAAGCCTATTTCTAATGTGCTTGAAAAGATGGAGAGCAAGATCCTGTGTCTGCATGAGCACAAGGATGAATGGCATGAATGTTGCAGAACCTGGGTATGATTTATATTTTAATTCATTAATACCTAGGAGTTCCTGCCTGTGTAGATGTTCTGAATGCGTAAAGTTTAAGGTGTAAACAGGGGACCCAAGTTTGGAAGTTTACATCTTGTGTTGATTTTTAATATTTTTCTGAGTAAACCTTTAAAGCTATTAAAAGCTTATTCCATAACCTTTTAAGATCAATTTTTTAAAGGAGGAATGGCAAAATAAATATTTGTATTTTGAAATAAAGTGTGTGTACACACATAGCCACATATATTTCCCCGTCCTTACACATGTGTTCATTAAATATAATGTATAACATTTTATACTGTACTGTGTAATACATTATGTATGCATTTAAAATAATAAACTGTAAGTAGCCTTGCTCTTTTGTCTATTTACATATTCATGAATTTAGATTTCATGGGTGTTTTCTTTGACCTTAATAGAAGCACTGCTAAAATACATAGATACACTTTGACTAATATTTACTCACAACCACAGCATTAATTATCAGAGACGCTGGGGTTTTATTAAGGTTTACTTTATGTTCTCATCAGTGTATTTATTTAGAATTTTGCTCTACCCCCCCACAGTGTTTCATGAATATCTCTTACTTTTTAGATAGAAGTCATTAATTTTTGTTGGACACACTAATAACTTTCAGTCCCGGGGGAAAGGAAATAAATCTTTATGTGGGAAAGAAAAATAGTAATTTTAATTTTTTTCCCACTCAAGATGGAAACTATTATTCTATTGGGTCTAAATTACTAGTTGTAAAGTAGGTATATTATGTGTAATTTCTTTCATCCCATGAGGAAATAGTGCGCTTTTAAAACTTGACCTTTATACCAGGGATTCTATGTCCTGTCTTTAAATGCATCTTTCTATTAATAATGCAAAACACCTTATTTTTTATCATCTAACATTGTGGATGGAAAACATAAATCAGACTACTTTAAAATTCCAGTGCAATAGCACAATGTGTATCTAGCTATTCATTTATTTAAGAAATGTCTGTTCTGTGTTTCTGTCTAGCACTTGATGTGTTTATATCCACATTCTTCTTAGAAGGCCAGGGACATTTTGTTCAGTGATTTGAGAAGTGATGTGGATGGATGCCATACTTGAAGCCTGTTTTCATATCTTCCATCAACACGTAACTCAAGATTACAATTAACTTGATCCATGCAAGTAGAGCCATTGATCCTTGATGAGGCATAAGCCCAGCTATCTTCTTGAATTAAGGCCTCAGATTGGAAGAGAACCAGTAAATGTTATCAGGCAGAAGCAAATGTTATTTTAAGATGCAAGGAGGTATTCTAAGCACTGGTTCCCTAGATAATTTGGAACCTATTTCCATGTATTGCTCTGAGAATATGTTCTTGCTCAACTTCTAAACCATGTGGCAAGTGGATAACTGTTCGTTTAAAAATAATTTAACTGAAGGAGTACCTGTTAACTGGAACTTCCCAGAAGCAGGTAATAACACTTAGAAAGCAGAAAAAATGTACAGTTGTAAATTTTCAGGCCTCCCTTCCGCCTTCTCAGGGTATCTTCTAAAATTGGTATTCCCTGATAAGTCCAGGTGGTTATACTGAGAGATACTGGACTTAGTATTCTCAACCTGTGTTGTTGATGGAATCTAGGCTACAGTTCACAGCAGTAGCAAACTGCTGCACCAGAAATACTGTATTGTCAACTGCCTGGAAATTCTTGGGTTTGCACATTAATAGAATATCTGTCGTCATTAAAGTGAGTGAGACTGAATAGTGTAAGGAATTAAATTGGTCTCTCTCAGTAAGATGCATATGGATGTCTGCCTGGAGTTCTGAGCTGATTTCATTTGCCAAAGAGCAGTCTGGTGCTGTTAGTGCCTTGTAGTCCTCTGCTGCTGGAATTGCCATCCATGATGCAGTATGTTTATAAATAAGGCTGTTTCTATCTGCAGGCTCAGCCTGGGATGTAAAGTCAAGTTGTGTTTTTTTCAGCTTGCACATCACCACTAATAGAGCTACTGCTGGAACTCAGTCAAGAATTCTGTTGATTGAGAAGCCAGTAAAGAAACTCGCAGAACTATGTTGCCTCTGCAAGTATGAGTAAAAGTT